GCACTAATATTGCTTAATCCTTTTAGTGTGCAGATGAGGAAGCTGAACCAGAGTGGTGATGCAGGAACCAACCGGAACATAGGTCTCTGGGCTTCTGGTCAGTGAACAAGAAGTGGATGAGTCAGTTCTTTCAGCCTTTCCCATATTTTCACTTCCTTTTAAATTATGTGTTAAAGTAGACTATCCTGAACTAACTGCAGTAACTTTCTTAAATTACATGCACCTTATCGACCTACTTTATTTTCTAAGCTTAAACCTCTATAAACACAAACATAACATTTAAATTTAAATAGCAAATTATTTGTATTCAGCATGCACAATCCAAACAGACTTGAAATTAAAGTTATTTGTAGATATTAAAAGGCAACATTCAGTAATCATAAGACTAATCCATTTTAGTTCATCAGGAAGCTCATTAGCTTGTATACACACTGTATATAGGCAGTTCAACTTCACAGAGAATGATGGTTAATTTTGTTCATCTCCACTCAGTGATCCTTTGCAGAGTACCACCATGCCCTTGTTTTGGTGAGTGCTGGAGAGATAACTCAATCATAAGTTTCCTTGGTCTTCAAGAATTTATAATCTAGCAAGACAGGAAGAGAGCAAACCAAGTGCCCTATGCAATACAAGATACAGAAGATATAAGAGATACCATAGAATTGCAGAGCACTCATTGCTTAACTTTTATAGAAATAGATAAAGAAGAAATCTGGTCTCCTTGTGGATATAGATAGTTTGGCAATAACTACAAAGGAAATGTGATATTTGTTCTTAGCCTTAAAAGATTAATAGAGGGCCCGCCCTGGTGGCGCAGCAGGTTAAAGCACAGCACTGAGAAGCTAAAGCCACTTCCGCATGAGTTCGATTCCTGCCTGCCCCAGAGGTGTGGCAGACCTCTCCTGACCCACCTGTTGCTCCCCTCAGCAGTGCACTTCGTCGATCTGCCTGTTCTGCTCCCCACTCTGTCTCTGGTGAAGCCTCTCGCCGCCCCTGAGCCTCTGGCCTGTACCCCAGTTCTGTATGCACAAATAAATAAATCTTTAAAAAAAAAAGATTGATAGAAAGTTGCTGACCAAGTGAAAGGTGTATAAGGAGAAAAGGAATAGAATTGAAACATGAAAGCAAAACTTGAATATACAAGTCACATAGAAGAATTGCTGACTAGCACATGGGTTTCACATCATGAGTGGTCATGCATGGCATGATTGGTTATTTAGACATCATCTTAGGGTGACTGAAGGTACTTAATAAAGTAATTCTGGTGGCATTGTAGAATCTAAGTGGGGGAGGCTGTTACATGGATAAAATTGTATCCCTTGCAAAAGGTGTAAAGTACCTCTAGCACTTTAGACTGTGCCTTCCTTGGAAACAGTCTTTGTAGATGAGTTTAAAATGAGGCCATTATGGTGGGCTCCAATGTGACTGGTATTCTTACAAAAAGAGGAAAATTTGGACACAGACATGCACAGAGGAAGACTATGTGAAGAGACACAGGACAAGTGCCATATGAAAGTGGAGGACTAGAGAGGTACATCTGCAGTCCAAGGAATTGCAAAGATTGCCAGCAATCGACTCCAAGCTGGAAAAGAGGACTGGAACTGTCCCTTGCAGCCCTCAGAAGGAACCAACTCTCCCAACACACTGATTTTGGACTTTAAGCCTCCAAAACTATCAAACAGAAAAATTGTCATATCAAGTCGAACTACTGAAAGGCAGGAGTCCATAATGAACAAAACCTTTTATTCTATTTTAGTCAACCAAAAATAGTCCAAACGATCTCAACTTTCTTGTTAGATCTTTCCCAAAGCTAAGAATCTTAAAAAAAGTCTCACTCATTTTCTCTGGCTAAGGGCATCTAACCAAACTATGCCCTTGATCGCTCATTCAAAACTTTCTTTGGGCGGGAGTCCCAGTTTCCATTCTGTTGGCTTATAGCTATATGCTGTTCCTTCTCCCCAGCCCTTTAGGAGTTTTTGATGACCTGCCTGGTCTCCTTTCCATTTTAGTTTCTGTCCTAGGTGCTGTGTATTAGGTTACACTTTCTACATTCTGCCACCTTTAGGCTGATCCCACGTTTCCTCCACACACAGCACAAACCCTCAGCCTCCAGCTCAGATTCAGCCCCACTTGTCTAGGGAGCTAGAATTAAGCATGTATGACCATTAACCAACCTGTAAAATATAGAAAAGAAAACATGATAAGGACTATCGAGACTATATTTTTTTGACACAAAGGGAAGCCATTGACCCAATATTCCTTCTGGGCTGCTAATATTTTGTATATCTCAAAGTGCCCAGCCTATTGCATGTTCTGTCCCACTGGCCATCTTTCCTTGGTATGAAAACCTGTTCCAATTGGGCCAATTAGAGTGGAAATGGAAATAAGTTTTCCTATGAATCTAGATATCTAATGTGAAAATTGTAGCAACTCCAGTCTACCATGTGGGCTGAGCAGCAGAGAATGCTGGTTTGCAGAGAGATAAGAATTAAGCAGATGTTAAAAGGAAGTAGATATGAGAGTCAGAGACACAAACCTCCTGGGTTCCTCACAGCATTCCCTTTGCTGGTCCCACTCTCATCTGTATCTCATATCTCTGCCTGTGGATTCTGTAAGAATTTACTTGTATGCCAATGATAAAAGCACTCATCATTTTATATCACCCTACTTGGAGTTTGTTTCACAGTACCCTAACCAACAATATATATGTTGACTTTGAAATATGTATCCAACATCTAAGAAAGAGAAGAGGTGGTTGGAAATGTGGGCAAAGACTGGGGAGGGGGCTAGGAGAAGATATTATTTCTGGATAAGGGAGTATCTCAAGTGACTGGAGTAGATGAAGTCGCAGAAACAACTCAAAATGAAGGGAAAAACCAGGAAGGGGTAGGATAAATTTCTTGGGATTATCAGTATTTAATAAATGGATTACAGAAAGAAGAGTCAGTGAAGAAGTTTAAAAAGAACAGGGAAAAAAAAGGAATATTTTTTTTTTGTAAAAGCCAAGAAATAAATCTTCGGTTTGGACTTACAGAAAATTCAACCACCAGTGACTTAGGCTTTTTTTTTTTTTTCCAGTCTCAAACAAGATGTCCAGAGTTGGTTCAACCAATCAACAAATCTACTGGGAACTCAGACTCTTCCTCTCTCTCTTGCTGTTATCTTTCTCATCCAGTCTTCATTTTTTAAATAAGATTTATTTATTTATGCATACAGAACTGGGGTACAGGGTACAGGGATGGTGAGAGGATTCACCAGAGACAGTGGGGAGCAGAACAGGCAGATCGACAAAATACACTACTGGGGGGAGCAGCGTGTGTGTCAGGAGAAGTCTGCCGTGCTATGTGGGTCACCTCTGGGACTGGGATTGAACTCATGCTTAAGTGGCTTTAGCTCCTTAGTGCTGTGCTTTAACCCACCCCCTGTGCCATCAGGAGGGCCCAGTCTTCATTTTACAGTCACTAATGATTGTTACATATTCCGGATAGGATGGAAAAGGAAAGGAGAAAGGGTAAAAGGCAATAAAGTGGGGCCAGCTCCTTATCAGAAAAGCAAAAACATTACCAGAAGTCCTGCTTACCTCTCAATGGTTAGAGCCCTGCCAATTGGCCATAACTAACTGAAGGAGGACTAAAAGAAAGCAGACTGTGGACAGAAGTTGGATCAGCCAATCTTTCTTTAACAATAGGGTATAATCAACAAAAGCTGCAGCAAGCGAAAGAAGAGTGATGACTAAAGACAGCTGATGAGGAATGGGAATGGGCGGGGAATATTTGATAAAAAGTCCCTGGCAGTTTTATCAAAAACAATTTCAGGAAGTATATTAGGTGTGGAGAGAACTGTTGAAGACTAACAAGTGAGTGGGTGAGAAGTGAGAACAGATGGTTTTTCCTGATGTTTGAAAAGGAGAAAAATAGAAAAAGCAAAAATCTAAAGGGGAGGCATAGTAGAAATGCCTTGTTTCGTTTTTGAAGTGCTGATTCTTGAGCATCTTATAGCCTGAGGAGTAGACACCTTAGGAGAAGTCGAGATTTAGGATGTAAATGCTAGGAAATAAAGATTATCTGTTGGGAGCAAATCCAAAAACGTTGGGTGACAGAGGGTCAAAGACCTTCTTGAAGGTGAAGATGAATATAGATAGTATAAGTCGGATGTCGGCATGAAAACAAAATTGTTGAAAATCCTATTTTGCAAAAATAACTTTAAAATTATTTAAGCTGTAAAAGATAAATCTTGAACCCATGATCCAATATGGAAAAAGTAATAAGTCACCAGAATTCAGGGTCGTGGCCAGCTCGAGTCCACTTGAGGATTTTTCTGACTTAGAGTGGATTTTTCTGACTTAGAAGAATGGGAGCTTTTATGAGCCTCTCAGCATTTCACTTTTTTCCCTCCTACCCTTCCCGGGCTGGAGGACCCTAGAGAGCATGGAGACGTTACTTGGCATGTTTCTCTCTCTTCTGCGGTATACTGAAAGCAGCAAAGAGATGAGTCATGCCCAAAGCCCTCGTTAAAAGCATCCAGAACTTGCTCGGCAGATGTATTTGGACCCTGCTCTCAACAACTTCACCTAAGAACGCCTTGGTGTAGCACTCAGGAAAGCTAGGGAGCAAGAAACCGCCAAGTGGAATATTCAGAAATCTGGGACTCCGGTGGTCGCGGAGCAGTTCAAACCTACCGACTCAGAGAGCATCAATCGCCTCCGCGACTTCAAAATCAAAGCCCGACCAGTCGTGGGTAAAATAAATGATTCTCACTTTCCATTGGCTGACTCTCCCGAGTTGAACCCTTGCTTCATTTTCATTGGTTGCTTTTGCTGTCACATCTTCTCGCCACGCCTACGTTCTCCTGGGCACCCAGTGAGTTTCGGGGAAGAGAGATTTGTGGTGGTCGGGGCGGGAGTTCACGGCCTATTCCCCCTCCCTGCGCCTCGGCCCGCACCCCGCCCCGTGGTCTGAGGCGCCGCCCCTAGCTCGACCGGGCCCCGCCTCTCCCGCCAGTGAAGGCGGGGACCAGGCGGTGCCGCAGCTGCAGGAATATGCTGGAAGCCGGGCGGACGCCCGGGAGGTGCTGAAGGGACAGTTCCCGCCGCCGAACTTGTCTGGTGGAGGGAGGGCAGGTGGGGCAGCCCCCGGAGTCGGCGGGACGCGTGAGCCATGGAGACCATCTGGATCTACCAATTCCGCCTCATCGTGATCGGGGACTCCACCGTGGGCAAGTCGTGCCTCCTGCACCGCTTCACCCAGGGCCGCTTTCCGGGGCTACGCTCCCCTGCTTGCGACCCCACCGTCGGTGTGGACTTCTTTTCCCGCCTGCTGGAAATCGAGCCCGGCAAGAGGATCAAGCTGCAGCTCTGGGACACGGCAGGACAGGAGCGGTTCAGGTAGGGCCATGGCACGAGGATCCCAGGGGCCGTGACGCCTGCCCGGGCGCCCCTTCCCCAGGCGCTGCCGCACCGCGCTGGTGAGGAGAGGCTCCGGTACTTCACTCTCGAAAGTGCAAACACCCCATTCTCGCATCCCCTTTGCCCCTCCTCTTCCAAGGGCGACTTCCTCCTCCGCAATATCTCACTTCTTTCTTTGGCGCCCACTTCCTGCGCCCCCTTTCTGGCATCCCTTTCCCGCCTGAATTGGGGTCACCCTCACCATATGACCCTTCCCCTCAACTCTCCATCCCTCAGGGTATTTGATCCCCAACTCTTCAACTCCCCAGTTGCCTTCTGTCCAAACTAAAGGCCCCTCCCCGCACACACGGAGACTCAGCCACCCTTCTCCAAGTTCCTCATTTCCTCCCCTTGTCAAGTCACTTCCCCTTATGCTGTAAGGTACAGTTGCGGGGTAGGATTTCCAGACGTGACAGATCAATTTTTAGCTTCACAAGCAACTGGTGCTTACTGCATGAGCTCATCGGGCATCGTTCTGACGGAAATGGATGCGGTGATGATTTGAACACCTCACAGCAAGCACCCTTTGAGGTCTTCGGAAATATTGGGCCGTGCGCCTTGCAGAGGTGTCTTGTACAAGACCAGATATAACTGGCACAACTAAAGGGGGTTTTGTTTGTTTGGGGTTGAGTTATCTTTAGACGTTTGTCACCATTGTTGCGTTGGTGGAAAAATATAAATACTAAAATTTGTCAGGAACTTTTCCCGTGTTTTATTAATAATAGGTACTAAAATTTAGAGGGCGATTACAGATTAGAAAATTCATTTTTAATAGGAAAGTAAATTTCCAAATAACCTGTCTCACTCAAAAATTCATTGAGATCCTGAAGCATTTTACAAAGGTGACTCTTGTTATGTAAATAGCAATTACATGCATTCTCTGATAGTTTAGACTGAACCAGATATAAAGCACACTTGAATTTTGTGGACTCAAGGCTACTCTTTTTTTTAGAAGAAGGATAGAAATCTGATTTACTGTAGTTTTGGGGGAGAGGGCTTCTAAGATTGCATTATAAATTGGCACTCATCTAAGCAAGCATTTTACAGTGTTCAGCAAGTACTTGGCTTCCAAAACCCAGTTTTCCAGAAAGGGACTTCCCACACATGGTTACCCCACACCCCAGCCAGCATCCATTCTTCATGATATCAGCTTACTACTGTGAGGATGTTCCAAGAATTAAAGTCTTGGCTTCCATTCCCAGCTGTGACACTGATTCATAGAGATAGTAAGTGAGCTGCTTGACTTGCTTAGTTTTCCTGTGTATAAAGTGGAAAGATGATAAGGCCTATCCTTCTGAGAGGTGTTAGTGATTATTGATTTGAATTGCAGAATACCTAGAACACCTTGAATACGTTCTTTTCCCTTTTCAGGTAGTCTTCAATGAAAAGATTTTTTGAGCTTCTGGCTCCTCATCTATAAAATGAAGGAGCCATTAGGATCTCTAAGATTCCTTACATTTTTGCTATTCTGAGGCTGAATGTAAATTCCTTCCCTTCTGCTCTGAGAGATGCACTTTAGATATGTCATGGTCAGGAGAAAGCATTTATAGAAATGCTTGCTCTACCCTGAAATGAATAGAATGAAAACAGTTTCTTTATGCATTAAGTTTCTAGCAACTCCTTGCATTGCAACGGCAAGAAACATAAAATCGTACTGTTTCTAATGCTCTCATTAAGGGTAACTCCTCATTATTGACAAAAATTAAGAATAATTAATTTGTTAGATTTTAAAGACCTTTCTGCTAAGTAGATCATTGTTTCTTCATGCATTTAAGAAAATGGTAAATAGTCATTCATTTTTATATACATTATTAACACAAGACAGTAACAAAAACATTTAGGGAATGTTTACTGACAACCAGTGGTACTTTATTTTGTTTGGCTCTTTACCAAAGATATATTCATAAATACATACATATTTCAGTAGCTACCTCCAATGCTATTGTCATTTAGCTGGGTGTTTCATCATAAAATTGCATCTAAAATAATTACCATTAAATCATTCTGTATCTTTCTTCAAGATAATCCAAACACTTATTTTGAGTAATAGAAAGCCTTGCACATTTTATTTCATAGAAAGGTACTACAGTTCGGGCCCTCCCTGGTGGCGCAGCGGGTTAAAGCACTGCACTAAGAAGCTAAAACCACTTCCGCATGAGTTCGATTCCCGCCTGCCCTGGAGGTGACCACATGGCGTGGCAGACCTCTCCTGACCCGCCCGCTGCTCCCCTCAGCAGTGTACTTCAAAGATCTGCCTGTTCTGCTCCCCACTCTGTCTCTGGTTAAGTCTTTCGCCACCCCTGAGTCTCTGGCCTGTACCCCAGTTCTGTATGCACAAATAAATAAATCTTTAAAAAAAAAAAAAAAAGAAAGGTACTACAGTTCATGAAGACACATCCCTGTCATTAGTTATGACCATGCCACTAGAAATTTGTGAAAGACATTGTAGGTTTTTTGGAAATTGGATCTAAGTTAACAAAAAGAACCCTACTCTAGGCACTAGCTGGAAAGCTTCAACAAATAGGTTACAAAACAAAATAGTGAACTGATACTTCTGACCATAATTAGCCTTCATTTCCTCCCTTCCTCCTGCCCCAGTTTTATTGATGTGTAGGCAAAGTTTTAGTTTTTCAATGTCCAGGTAGTCTGGTAGACAACAACTACTTGCAAATATAAAAGGAACAAAGTTAAAGTGAAGAAGGTATAGAAAAATAATGTATATATCTACATAGCATTCATTGTAATATACCCAACATTTTTATTACCAGAGCTGTTTTAGTGAGAATAAATGTAAATTGCTGAGATTAAAAAGGCTCAGAATTACAGTGCCTTCATAGAGACAGCAGTGTACTCCAGTGTAAGCATCTCAAAGTGAGCACTCCACACTAGTGGGTGGCCTCTGCCTTCTGTCAGATGTCTTCCCTTCTACTTTTCTGCCATCCGCAGGACATGGGCCCTATCTGTGTGGACAAAGCTGAGTTTGGACAGGAAGTCATTTGTGTATTCCAACTACATAGCTTTGTAGTAGAAGGAAGTTTTGTTTGTTTTTATTCACTAAAAAACTGGGTTGCAGGCATGATATGTGTCAGTATAAGGAAGAGGTAAGAAAAGCTCTAAATCAATGTTCCTTTGAAGCCAGTAAGGTCAACCAATATGGTACAACTTTCTCAAGCCTTTAGTTCCTTGGAGAGAATTAGACATATGACCATACTTAGACCAGGTAATCACATGCCCAGGAAAAAGGAAGATGGATTAGACATTGGAGGGACTAACAAGCACCACTTTTAACTTTCTATCATCGTAGTAGAAGCTGAGCCAGCAAGGAATTCAGAACATAGTGGAGCACAGTCTTGATAAGGATAGCTATTGGAAGGGCTGGAGGGATGGGGAGCATCAAACGTAGAGTAGAAATTTTTAACTATCCCCTATAGAAACATTTAAAGCAACATGTAGGGAAAATGAGAGAAAGATCAACCTACTTGCTGCTACTTGCTGTAAGGAATGTCAAGCCTCAAGGCTAATTTGGCCTTAGATTCGTGTTGTATGACCTTTGGTATGAGATCATTCCACCTGTTAGTTTGGAAACCAGAGGTTGGTGTCCTCTTAGTGCTTCCACAGAACACTTAACCCTGTGATGCCTTCTAGAAGATGAGTTCTGGGAACCCAGGCATTCCATACAGCACTGGCTTAGATAGCGCCATCAAAGGAATTCTGATAGGAATAAGAACTACTGCCACAAAGAAATCTGCTAACTCTGATTAAACTAGCATTTCCCAAATTCATTTGAGGATCACTTTTATATTGTGAAAACCTATGCTGATTACTGTTCTTTTTGGAGTATAATTTAGGAAAAGCTTCCTTGACAAGTTGCTTAGTCATATTTTTAGAACAGAAACACTAACCATTTCAAGTTTGGACCTGTGAAGATTAGTTAAACAGCAATTAACTTAGCAAAGGGTTCCTGCAGGCTGTGAGGATGGCCCTCCCACCCCAGGCTCCATGCCCAGCTCCCAAGCCTGTATGGTATTGGGCTGTTCCCAACACCTGTCCCCATTTCTTCATGTCTTTTCCTCTAGATCCTCTTCTGCTCTGTACTTTTGTCTCCCCGTACGCTTTATACCTCCTTCAATGTCTGTATTTTCCCTTTATCCTATTCATCTGTTCTGTCCTTACTCAAACTTTCTCCCATCTCTCTTTTCCTTTCCTTCCTTTTTATTTTAAGATGTCTCCATGCTCTCTCATTTCCTTTTAGCTTCTCTCTATTTATTCCCCTGGCTCCCTTAAGTCTGTTTTCTCCTCTGCCCTGGAATTATTCATATGAAGTTAATGTTTAAAAGGGGCTTAATTTATGTCTTCTGTTCTTAATTTAAAAAAACAAGTGATAAGAACATTTTATATTTCACCTTAAAAGATATTTTTTAATGCTTAAACTAATGGTCTCGCTTTTAAGGACCCTTGTTTGATCCCCTCTCCTTATTTGTGGTTCATGGTCTTAATAGACAAAAAAAAAAAATTTCTAAGCCTGGATGGGCAATTTCATAATTGCATAGGTAATAAAAGAGACTCCCACAATTAGGATATACTCAGAAAGAATTCTGTGTCCAACCAAATTGATGTTCCACTGTGAAAGCCAGATAAGTCATCAAATACTCAAGATTTCAAAATATCACTTCATACAATTTTTGGAGGAAGCTACTTGAAGATGTAAACACATGCACGCACAAGAACTTAGAAGACATGAGATCTGGGGAACAGGAGCTCTGTCTTTAAAGAAAGGCAAAGGAAATGCCTAAGAAGTTGAGGAAGGGAGCCCCTAAGATAAAATCTCTGCAACAGACACCAGAGACAACAGGCCAGATTGGAGCTGGGCTAATGATTGTAGGTAAGGTGTCCTCAGGAAGATGAAATCAATAGAACAACTTACAAGGAGAGACTTTCTG